CTGGTTCCCTGGTCCTCTGGTCTCTCGATCCTCTGGTCTTTGGTTGCGGCTTTTGGAAGGTTAGAAATACTGCAAATTACAGCTTCTGGAGCTTCTGTGAAGATAGGACTACTGCAAATTACGACATTTGACTTTTGAAAAGTCAGGAAAACCGCCAAAACAATGTTTGCGGCTTTTGAACGGTTAGAAAGGTTACGCATATTTGAGGCTCTTTAAAGGCTACGCATGTTGTAAATTACAGCATTGGGAGATCTTAGAAAGTGAGGGATGCTTTAAGTTCCAGTAGGCACATTGCAAATTTCAGCCATCTCGTAATGCAGACACATTGCAAAACAGATCTGTGAAAAGGTTGCAAGAAGCTGCATGTTCTGATTTTCGTCGACGTTTTGCAAGTAGGCGGCGGCTGCGCGCCCCCCAACCCCCGGCTATTTCGAAATAAAGAACACAAAAAATGTCAACAAACAATATCAATGGCTGCAAGAAGCTCGTGCTTTATGATCTTCGTCCATGTTTTGCAAATGGCTCCCAACCCCCCTGCTATGTCGTAATGCAAGCGCGATGCAAAAACCAACCTATCAACATTTCCAAAGGAGCTGAGGTCTTCGTCGATGTTTTGCAGATGGGGGGCTCTGCGCCCCCCCAACCCCCCCCTATTTCGTAATGTAAGCACGCGGCAAAAAAGTATCAACGGTTGCGTGCAGCCAGTGTGTTTTGATCTTCGTCGATGTTTTGCAGAAGAGGGGTAGGCTGCGCCCCCTCCCAAATCCCCCTGCCATTTGGTAATGCAAGCGCGATGCAACAAGACGTCCATCAACGGTTGCAAGAAGGTGGTGTGTTCTTATCTTTGTCCGTGTTCTGCAGATGAAATTTAGGGTTTATAAGTAAGCCCCGCCCAAGCCCCCTTTCCTATTTCATTTCGTAAGGCAAGCGCAATGCAAAACATAACCTATGAAAGGGTGCAGGAAGCGACACGTTTTACGCCCCGGCCTCCCCGCTTGTTTGTAATGCAGAAACGCTGCTTAACAATTCCGGGTGTGCAAGAAACTTGTTCCCACATTTGCCCAACGTCCGACATCTTATAATATTTGTACAAGAAAATGCATTTTCTCATCTTCCACCCTGTTTTGCAAAGGGCGTCTGCGCCACCTCCAGCCCCCTGCTATTTTGTAATTTTGTAGTGGCACCACACTGTTCGGGAGTAGTGTTTTTTCCTGAAGCTACAAACCCTGTATTTGCAGCTTTTTTGTTTCTGGAGCAAGCAACGGCCTGGCAAATCTGATCCCAACCTTTGTTGATTTTAAGGAGCCTATACGTTCTACGTGTTCTTACCATTGCCCACGTTTATCAAGTGAGACAGAAGGGCGGTGCTTCTTTCCAACCCCATTGGTTTTTTTGAAGCCCAGCTTGGCAAGCACCTACATGCTGTTGTAACTTGCACTTCTTGAAAGGTTACCGACACTGTAAATAACGGCATTTCGAGTTCTGCAAAAGGTTACAAATACGGCACAGCAGTTGGAACTGTTGGGAAGTTAACTGAATTTCACTGGGAACTCTTGTAAAGCTACGAATACTGCAACATCAGTTACTCTTGCGCCTCTTGGATCATTACTGTACGGTAAATACCAATATTGCGAGCGCTGGTAAGTGAGCGTGTCTAGAGTGTCAACAGTCACAAGGATCAAGCCGGTCGGGGTCGCCCTCCTCGTAACTGTCATTGTCCTGGGGCTCTCACATCTTGTTTGCCCGTCAAAAGTGTCAACAATCACAGGGATCAGGCGGGTAGGGGTCGCCATCCCCGTAATTGTCATCGCTGCAGGGCTTTGATATGTTTTTCTGCGTGTCAAAAGTGTGAACGGTCACAAGGATCAGGCGGCTCGGGGTCGCCATCCTGGTAACTGTCATTGTTTTTTGCCTCTCACATCTTGTTTGCGTGTCAAATGTGTTAACAATCACAAGGATCAAGCGGGTCGTGGTCGCCATCCTCGTAACTGTCGTCGTTTTTGGTCTCTCACATCTTGTTTGCGTGTCAAAATTGTCAGCAATCACAGAGATCAGGTGGGTCAGGGCCGCCATCCTCGTAATTGTCATTGTTCTTTGGCTCTCACATCTTGTTTGCATGTCAAAAGTGTCAACAAGCAATTGATGAAGCAGTGCCATTTGCAAGGAGCCTGCATGGCGCCCTCGCGGCCAAGCCCCAGCAATTGACTGGGTAGCAGCGTGAGATTTTGATGCGTGAGCCTGTCCTCATGTATGCAGCCTGGGCTGCTAAGTTTGGTAATAAGCTTTAGCCACGGCTTTGTGCTGCCGTCCGCTCATCCATTTGTGAGTGCGCAGTCTCGACTGTGATATGTTGCTTTGATACGTCAGGCAGTGCCGTGCACCGACACAGGATCCGTGTTCTTTTCGCTTCGCTAAGATTTCATCGGACCTATGCGGACAGTCAAAAGCGTCAACAATCACAGGGATCAGGCGGGTCAGGGTCGCGATCCTAGTAATTGTCAACGTTGCTGGGTTTTGACATGCTTTTTGCGTGTCAAAAAATGTCAACAATCACAGGGATCAGGTGGGTCGGGGTCGGCATCCTGGTAACTGTCGCCGTTTTTGAGCTGTCACGCGATCGCTGCATCGCAAAAGTGCTAACAGTCACAAGGATGAGCGTACCCCTCAAAAAATGGATGCCCCAAAAAATAGATGAGCCACACACACCTAGCAGAACAAAAACGAGCCACACCTATGAAAAAACATCCGCCAGCTTAGGGTCCCTAACATGTACTAGGTTATATTCCTTAATAAAAGGATATTGCGCTCCCTGGGTACAGGAAGGATCCTGAGCGTGCAGACTGGGACGCTGCTGGCTTTGTTTAAAAGGTTTTTTGGGTTTTAGGGTTTAGGGTTTTTCAATGTCAGCTTTAGTTAGGTGAGGCAGTAGTGTGATGCTCACCGTGGTGGATGGACCAGCCCCAGATGCAAACCCTTCATCACGGCATTATGAATGTCGCCACAAATCAACTCAGGCAAGCAGACAAACTCGGACTCAAGGTTGGACAACGCATTATTCGGATCGCTCACAAGCCCTACACTCGTGGAAGAATGACCCGCGCTCTCAAAGGTTCCGAAGAATACAGCATGACTCTTGAAGAGCCATCAACATTAGCAATCCAAGTTGGCAAGGTGGCCACCTATGCAAAAATTCCAGCTGGCATTCTGGGTTGGCTGATGCTATTCTTCTTGCCGTGTATCATTTACAGCCGCCAACAGAGGGCGTCTGGCTGGTACCTAGATGTGCTGAGCAAAGGAGTCGTGCATACAGTGGCTCCATTTGCTGCAGTTGCATCTGGTGGAGTTCAGCTGTTGACTGGAGTCCTGGATTGGCGGTATGCAAACGCAATGAGCAAGGTACACACACTGAGTTATTGTTGTTTCTTGATGTTGGCCCCAAACTCGCAAGCTTCGGATGGACACTGATGTTGATGAGTCCCAACCTCTTGACTTCATGCTCTCAGTTCTATATCAGAACACAAATCCTTGCCAACATTAGTCCAGCTCCCAAAGCAATGTATTGGCTAACGCCAGCACGTCGTGCTGTGGGATCTGCGGCAATGTTCTTGGCCATTGTCATAGGCCCCTTCACGCTCTCTGCTGCCATGAAGAATCTTCAGCGCAAGCTGAATGAATCGCGATATCGTGATGCGAGCCTGTCCACACATGTTGAAGGATTGGAGCGTATGATCGCCAACCTGAACGACGGACAGGGCTTCGGGATTCCAGTCTTTGATGGTCTGGTAGTGACACGAAGCCTGTTGATGACGATGCTTATCCGAGCCGTGTTAGCAGGCACGGTCATCAAGGCATATGTGGACACTGGCGAGGGCTTCAACAAGGAAGATGCTGAAAAAGAAATTTTGGGAAGCCAGCTTACTCACATGGCCAACATGATTGTAAACATTACAAATATGAGTATGGCCTTGCAGCAGAAGTCTCCGGGCTTGATGTAAGCCTGGAGCTTCGCATTGGCTTCTCTTCAAGATCTTGAGGAGCCCTTGTTCGTTTCTTGCTTTGCGGGGGGGGGGGTGAGCGCTGATGCATTCGCTGCTCAAGGCGGCATTCGCAGAGGCATCAACTTCGCAGCGCTCCAACGAAAACCGAAGCTGCTCGCGAACTGGCACTACCCAAGGCCTCCTATGAAATTCCTTTTGTGGCTCCTATTATTTTTGGATCAGATTCCTGATTTTCGACCCAAGATGTACATGGGAGACTCTGCAGTGCTTAACCATGAACTTGCCATAAACCCTAAACCTTCAGCCAGCTAAAGACGCATTGTAAGATGGATCACGAATGGTGGGCAGCTAGCGAGCTAGCCGCCTTCATGGGGTCTGGGGTGTGGGGTTTTAGGGTCCAAGACTAAGCCCTACATTCAGTCCACCTCTTCATGTTTCGCCTGTTCTCTCCTGCACTAATCCTGTATAGCCCCTATTCCCTGGAATGCGAACATTACACCTTAAACCCTCTTACAGCCACCCCACACGTCCACTTAGCCGCCAATGGTGATTTTGAGACCTCAGGCTTGAGCCTCCACATCCCTCAAGAGCTTTAAAGGGGCTTTATAGGTGTTATATGGGGATATATATATATACATATATGTATATATATATATCTGGATATGAGGTTTATAGTATACAAGGTGTAAGGTTAAGGGTTTAGGTTTTAGGTTTCAAGCAAGCCATAGTCTAGATTCCTCAAGGGGGTTATATAGGGGATAATATAGGGGAGCATTACAAGTGTTATTAAGGGGGACGGTTTAGGGTACCTACACCCCAAAAAAGTATGCAAAAAGCAGGCGCCAAACCACAAAGACATTGAAAACAAGGCCAGTATTCTACACACTTTGGGGGGTCTAGGTACCGTTCAAATCAGCTCACACAGTCCTATCTACGGCCAGCGTAGCCACTTTGCTCCGTTCTCAGGGAGCCCAGGTCTTTTTGTAGGGACTCGCTTCCTAGACCCTCCAGCCACTCTCATTTAGGGCCTCAGTACC